CACACACACACACACACACACACACCCCATGGTGAGTTGGGTGTGGTGGCACACACCTCCAGTCCCTGTACTCAGGAGGATCACTGCAAGTTTGTGTTTTTTTTTTTGAACCGGGGATTGAACTCAGGCCCTTGCGCTTGCCAGGGAAGCGCTTATTCCACTGAGCCATCTCCCCGGCCCTGGATCACTGCAAGTTTGAAGGCAGCTCACACTATAGAGCAAGACCCTGTCTCAAAAAAACAAAACAATAACAACAGCAAAATCACATTGTGAATGCTGCTATCATTTAGCTATTTTAGGTTTGGGGGTTTTTGTTTGTGGTACTGGTGATCGAACCCAGGGCGTTCACACAAAGCCACACCCCTAGCCCTTTCAAGTTATTTTTATAACCCATGTCATCAGGCCAGTGGTCCTCAGTGGGGGGTCGGTGTCCTTGGGGACACACCGGCTTTTCTGGAGGTCAGGAAGCCACAGTACAGAGTAAATTCATACTCAGCCCTGGTCCCACCTTCTTATTCCATGCCAGAGAAGACAAGGTCGACTGAACCTTCCTGGCTGATGACTGGACTTTGTAAAAAGAGAAGGCATTAGTTAGAAAATGTGCAGAAGTCAGACAGAGTCCCAGGAGAGCGTGGAGAAAGGGGCAGGAGCTGAGGACAGCGGCTTCATCTCAGGCTGCTGGTTCTGCTGGGTGAGGTGGGAAAGGGTGGGTTGGCTTGTGGGGGGTCCCTGGGAGAGCGGGCCAGGCTCTCTCCGAGCCTCGTCCCCAGGGAGAAGCTGCATGCACAGCCCTAGTCCCGCCAGTCCCCATGGAAGAAGCCAGGAGGAGCAAGTGCCTACGCCAGGACCAGGGTGTGAGGTGGCTTTTTTTTTTTTTTGTGGAACTGGGGATTGAACTCAGGACCCTGCTCTTGCCAGGCAGGTGCTTATTCTACTGAGCTATCTTCCCGGGCCCTGTTTTTGTTTTTGAGACAACATCTCCTATGTAGCCCAGGCTGGCCTCAGACTCATAGCGATCCTCCCACCTCAGTCTCTGAGTGCTGGGGTTAGAGGTGTGCACCCCCGCATCCAGTTTTGGGTGGGAGGTTTTAAGAAAGATCTATGAAGGGCCCACCTGAGAGCTGTAGGGATGGCACGCCTGCGAGGTGCAGCCCTGGCCTTGTCCCCAGGTCACCCTGGAGACCACCATCGGCAACAAGAACCCGGCATTGTGGAAGTACGTGCAACCCCAGGGCTGCGTTCTTGAGTGGGTCCGCAACACCGTGGCCAACCGCCTGGCTGTGGATGGTGCCAGCTGGGCAGACGTCTTCAAGAGCTTCAACAGTGGCACGTGAGTGACTCCTGGCCCTCCGTCTTCTTCCTTCAGATCTGGGCCCCAGGGGACCTTATGGTACCAGGGACACATGTCCCGGGCCCTCTGTAGCACCCCCTTCTTGCTCTGTGCATTGGAGACTGAGGCACAGGAGGGAAAGGTTTTGTGTCTACCCTATGCAGGCTCCTACCCTGGAGGTGGGGCAGGAAAGTCAGGTGGAGCACGAGGCTTCAGGGACAGCAGGAGAGGGACATGGAAGAGTCATGAGGGGCCGGGGAGATGGCTCAGTAGAATAAACACTTCCCTGGCAAGCGCAAGGGCCTGAGTTCAATCCCCAGTTCTGCCCCCCCCCCAAAAAAAAAAGAGAGAGAGAGAGAGGAAGAGTCATGAGTGAGCTGTTGGCCTGGCTGTAGAGCTAGTCATAAGGTGGTGGAGCTAGGAGCCTAGAGTGTGCTAGGACAGACAGACGGACAGACACCTGGAGGAAGGGGTCTGTTGGCTGCTGTGCCAGTGAGAGGGCTGCCTGGCCAGGTACCTGGGGTGCCCTCCGGGGGTGTCTTCTGGCCACACGGGGCTCTGGGGACTGGGCAGGGCCAGGAAATGTTCAGCCTCCTGCCTGGGCCCGGCAGGTATAATAACCAGTGGATGGTCGTGGACTACAAGGCATTCATCCCCGGCAAGCCCAGCCCGGGCAGCAGGGTGCTCACCATCCTGGAGCAGATCCCGTGAGTGTGGGCAGCAGGGTGTTGGATGGGTGCAGGGCTGGCAGGCCGAGACCCGAGCATGCATGCAAGGAGGGGTGCTGGGAAGGCAAGCTGGAGAGGGGCTAGGGTTTGGGGTTGGGGGTGCTGGCGTGGGGGCCAGAACTTGCAGAGCCCCTCTTCTGACCTGCCTGTCTCTCCTGGCTGTCAGGGGCATGGTAGTGGTTGCTGACAAGACCTCAGAGCTTTATGAGAAGACCTACTGGGCCAGCTACAACATCCCGTATGTGCCCTACATCCACCACTGCGCCCACCCACACAGGCCAGTCCTTCCCACTTTAGCAAGAGGGGTCCCAGCCACCGAGCTGCACCTCAACCCTCAGCAGTGCAGACAATGGCCTGTGACATGGGATGGCCCCACCCAACCCTGAGCGTGGTTCACGTCCAGATGCTGAGACCAAGTCCCTGAGAGAGGGTCAGCTCCCCACAGTCTGCAGCTGGGAACCAGCGCAGCCAGGATCCTAACCCAGGGCCCAGCCTCAGTTGCCTCCCAGGTCAACCCTAGCACAAATGAAGAACACCGTCGTCACCATCCTGGCCATTGTGGCTGCTGGTGATGATATTCTTGGCCATAGCCAGGCCTGACTGAGCTCTGTGGGGTGACCACCCTGTCCCCACAGGTCCTTTGAGTCTGTGTTCAACGCCAGTGGGCTGCAGGCTCTGGTAGACCAGTACGGGGACTGGTTTTCCTACAGCAAGAGCCCCCGCGCCCAGATCTTCCTGCGGAACCAGTCTCTGGTGCATGACGTGGACTCTATGGTGCGGCTGATGAGGTAGGGCTGCAGGCTCAGCGCGGAGCCCTTTGGAGACTGCACTGCTTGCCCGACCCTTGCCCCAGCTGGGGGCTAGCACTGGCGGTCACCATACTTAACCCTCCCACTACAGGGAGGATGCTGTGCACCCCTGAGCCACCATCCTGAATGGCCAGATGCCTGGCCCCAGAGACACAGGTGACTGCTATCCTGCAGACCTGCTGACTGCTATCCTGAGGAGTCCTTGTCTCGTGGGTGGCAGGACCAGACTTGTATAGATGCAGAGCAAGAGCCACCTGAGCCCCAAGAAATTTTAGCAAGGGACAAAGTGGGTGCCTTGCCTGGCGTGGGTGGGGCTCCGAGGGCTTCTCTGGGGCAAGTGCTGATCTGAGAGCGGAAAGATGAGGGGAGCATGGCTAGGCAGGGGTCAGTGGAGAAAGGCCAAGGTCAGGGCCATGGCTGTCAAGGTCATAAATGTCAGCATGAGGGTTTTGGCCCCTCCCTGGGCACCTTCCCAGGATAACTGGTGTGTGCTCCCTTCCTTGCTCCAGGTACAACGACTACCTCCATGACCCTCTGTCGCAGTGTGAAGCCTGCAGCCCGCAGCCTAATGGGGAAAATGCCATTTCTGCCCGCTCCGACCTCAACCCAGCCAACGGCTCCTACCCCTTCCCAGCGCTGCGCCAGCGCTCACATGGGGGTATTGATGTGAAGGTGATGCCCCACCAGGAGCAGAAGTGGGGCCCTGAGGCCACGTTGGGGCGGAGTCTGGGCTTCCAGGATTGGGCAAACATGGGTCCCCATTCAGCCTCCTACTTTTCTGCCCCCCAGGTGACCAGCATGTCGCTGGCCAAGGCACTGAGCCTGTTGGCTGTCAGTGGCCCCACGTGGGACCAGGTGCCCCCGTTCCAGTGGAGCACCTCGCCTTTCCAGGACCTGCTGCACATGGGCCACCCTGACCTCTGGAAGTTCGCCCCCATTGAGGTCTCGTGGGACTGAGGCACCTCTCGCCTGCTGCCTTGCTGCCGGCCCCGCCCTGTGGAGCCCTGGCAGGCCGCACTGCCTGCCCGCCGCCTGGCTCTGCCGTCCACCAGCCTGAGCTGGGGTCTGCCTGGGAGGTTTTCTCCAAGGTGAGACCAACTCAGTGTCAGTCCTGAAGAGCATGGGCCATCCCTACCCCTGCTCTGCTGTGCTGTCTCTGCCATCCCCCCATGTCCTGCTGGTCACCAGGGCATGCTGGGGTCCCCACCGCACCCCAGGAAGCAGACTATACCTCTGGATGGAAACTTGAGTACAACCGAAACCAAAGTTTCTGGCCATGATGGCCAGAGGGTCCTGAGTGCCCGTCTCCCTGCAGGGCTAGCAGGAGTGTCGCGCTGAGCTCCCACCTCTTGTCCTTGCCCAGTCTGGTCTGCCCCTGGCCTCTGGGCAGCACCTGCAGACCCCACTGTAAGAACTGAACCGCAGATTGTGTCACCATTAAACACAGGAGGCTGTGGCCGAGTGTGCTCTTGGGGAGGCGGGTGTGGTCTTCTCCGCATGGGCTCTCACTGTCTGCTGCGTGTAACCTGTCCGTCCTGCTGCCTGGCAGTCTGTACCCATGGGCCAGCCTGTCCGCTGACCCACCGCCCATCTGCAGTCACCGATCCATCTACCCATTTATCCATCATCTATCCATGTATTTTCTACCCGTCCATTTTTCTGTCCATCTGTCCATACCATCTACCTATCCATCCATTCACCCACCTACCCATCAATCCATCTTCCCACCCATCTATCCACACCACCCATGCACACATCCATCTGTCCATTCCCATCCATCTTCCATCCATCCACTTATCCATCTGTCCATTTAATTTTCCACCCGTCCACCTTTCTGTCTACCTGTCTGTACCATCCATCCATCCCCCATCCATCATCCATCCCTTACCCATCCCCCACAATCCATCCCCCATCCATCCATCCATCCATCCATCCATCCCTTACCCATTCCCCATCTATCCCTCCATTCCCCCATCTATCCCTCCCCCATCCATCCCTTACCCATCCCCTATCCATCCATCATTCATCCTTCATCCATCCCCCATCCATCTATCCAGCCATCCCCCATCCATCCATCCATCCATCCATCCATCCATCCATCCATCCATCCTCTCCTCATCCATCCAGTCACCCATATCTACTGTCTGTCCACTCATCCGTACAGGCACCTGCCTGTCCACCCACTGAGCCCATTATCCACCCCCCACCCACCCTAGGTGCTTACGGGTGCCCACTGTGTTCTTGGTCGGATTCTAGGGCCCTGTAACCCCTAAGATCTTAGTCCCACTGTGGGGTGCAGATCAACAGCATTTCTTCCTGGCCCCATGCACAGCCTGCCTTGGGAAAAGAATCCCTGTGCTCTGTGCTCAGAGGGCAGAGCACTCAGCCCTGGAGCCAGACCTGGCTTCCCATCCAGCCTCCACCTCTTATTAGCTATGATGCAACCGCTGTGAGCCCCACTTCCCTCCCCTGTAACATGGCGTGAGGATGGGGAGGATGGTCTCTGGCCATGGGCTGAGGGCCCCGTGCCACGTGTGTGGCCCTCGTGGGCCCTCCAGGCACCAGCCGTCTCATTAGTGCATCCTTGCTGCACCTGAGTACCTGCCAGCTGCAGTGTGGTGTCCCAGGAGGCTCAAGTGAAGTGCGCTGTCCCTTCTGTGACAACCTTAGCCCAGGAGAGCTGGTAGAGGCCGGTGAGCGCTGAGGAGAAAAAGCATGTTAGAAGCCAGGATTGTTATTTCTCACTACATTTGTGAGGTGTGATTGAGAACTATGAGTTTTCTTTTTCTTTGCCTCCCTTTCTGAGAAACGGTCTCACTGGAGTTCAGACTGGCCTTGAACTTACTATGTAGCCCAGGCTGGCCTGAAACTTGTGGAGATCCTCCTGCCTCAGCCTCCTGAGTGCTGGGGTCACAGGACTGTGTCACCACACCTCGTATTAATAGAGAATGTTTAAATAAAAACAAAAAGTATTACAGTGAAAGACGCCTCGCCACTCGTCCCCCTCAGAGTGCTCCCCTTTGCTGCAAACACACCTCTCGCATAGTTCTGCCCATTTTCTGAAGCAGAGCTGGAGCTCTCCTGCCGTGGATGTCTGTCGCTGTGCTGTGGCTGCTCGGCGTCCTGAGTGGGTTCACGTTTGCCTCGTGGTCCTTTTGCCTTTGGGAAGAGCCCCAAGTCCAACGGTGCCAGCCCCCCAGAACAAGGGGATGATGCCATGCTGTAGGGCCTTTCATCTGACAGGGACGGCCTCAGGCACGTGGGCTGGTGCAGCACGTGGTGCTGGGGCTCGAACCCCGGCCCCTGCGCTTGCCTGAGCGGGTGCTCGGTCCGCTGAGCTCTCTCACCGGCCCTAATGTAAAGTTTTAAAAACTTGCTCAGTGATGGGTGACCAAAAGTGTGGTGAGCGTATTTAGATAAAGGCATGTATGACAGTAAAGGCGCCACCGTGATCTCCTCTCAGGATACACGCACTCGCTTTAAACACACTGCACTTCATTCTTGGGAATATGTCTTCCACGGTAGTAAGTTTATTTATTTTAATTTTATTGAGAAACAGATATGAATGAGACAGTTTCACAGCTGATTAATACGACAGTCTCGATAATACACTGTACATTGTTATCTTCTTAGTGGTCATCCATAGTACAAGAAGCAGACAGGATATCCTGTCCAAACACTGTTAGTACACCTCTTTCTTCTCATTGAATTAAGCGAAAGTAGCTGTATATCTGTCCTA